GAGAGAGAGAGAGAGAGAGAGAGAGAGAGAGAGAGAGAGAGAGAGAGAGAGCACGGAGGCTCGCGCGCGTATGCAAATAGATATTTCATTCCTGTCTGCGGGAACAAGGATCGAGGTTGGGGGATAAGGTGACTTTCTCGAGGGAAATTCAGCGAGGGGCACTCCGATTCGCGGAACAGCGCGCGTTTCTCGTTTTGTTTTGTTTTTTCTCCTCCTCCTGCCCCCCCCTCCCCCCGCCCCTTTTATCGGGGGGAACCCGGAGCCGATAGAAACAGCCTGTGCGCCGATGTGCCTCCTCCTTGGATTCCCGGTTTATTCTCTCCGATGATTCCGCCCGTCGCGCACGCCCCGTCAATCCGCCGGTGACGAGCAGTGGATACGCGGCTCGAAAGATCTGGAAAACTTAGCCGGATCCGTAAGTCGGTATACAGGCGGGCTCTTGCGACTCGAATGCGAGGAAGTGTGTGTCTTTTACGATCGACGATAGGAGAGGAAATGGCGGAGGAAAAAAGCTTGATCCTTGGAGTAATCGATTTTTTATTTTGCAAATTTCATCTGATTGCTTTAATTGGTGGTTTTGATAAAGACGTCCCGAAAGTAGACAAATTTCCAGGGGGAACTAAACTGATCAGGAATCAGCCAATAGTCAGAATTCCTGGCCAGTTATCAGGTAGAAAGTGGTGCCACTCTTTCTCTATCGGACAGATAAGAGTTAAGAGGACTTTTGTGTGATGGATGTAGCATACGAAAATATGTGTGTACTCAGATAGTGAACGTCTTTTTTTTTGTTAATTTCAGGGACGTAGGCGGGAATCGGGCGTACCTGAGACAACCGATGGGGTGAGTGTACTGAACTGAAAACTTACGTGTAACGTAATCTCGGTTTAAGCCGCCATGAGGAGCCTAAGCCCTCGTGGGCCAAGCGATAATACCTAAAACCGAAGAATTAAGTCAGCGCGTCTATTACATCCTCCCGAAAGCGCGGAGACTTAAAAGTCTTACCGTTTTAGTTATCGTAATCGCGGGGTATCTACTTTTATCCGTCTCAGCGATTCAGGATGGACGGAGGAGTGCGATTGCGTAAAATTATTGCCGTGCAATCTCTCATATTCTTATCATGATATATTAACGCGCTTCTATCTCCGCGCAATCTCTCTCGCGATCCCTAAGGGGTCTAATGTACTTTCCCGTGCGCCTCAAGGGTCCCATCTGGCTCTCCTCTTTATTGTTTATCTTATTTATTAATGACTTGGTTTATAATTTGAAATATGTACGAGCCTTGGTTTGAAGCGCTAACACGATCTGAAGATAGTTTTAAAGAGGAGGTAGCTTTAAAGGAGAGAAACGCAGTTAGTCGAATGAATAAAATGACAATGACGCAACTGAACTTTGTACTTTGATTGAAGATAACAGAGATTCTGGTCCTCCCATGAACCACAAATTCGATTTTTAAGAACCAGAAATTCTGATTCAAATCTCAATATAGACTACGTGAATAATAATTTGTTCTCATCCGCCTTTCTTCCTTCCGCTAATAATGGCAATAATAGCGATTTTGTTTCCACGTAGTTATAATGCATAATTTAGTTACATTGGAATAGCAAGTTGACGAATACCTCTCGCCGTCGATAGATAATCCCCGCGTTTAGCATAACGCAATGCGTTCCATCGCGGTCTAATCTCAAGCTCCATCGACACACTCGTTAGATCGGAGTAATCTCCACCCTGGCAAATTGAAACGCGCGGAATCTACGAAGTGTCGGAAGATTAGTTCCCTAGCAACCGAAATTGGAGCGGGCTCTCGCCGCGCGCCTTGCCTATTACGGGGACTTTGGCCGGCATTCGCTTTAATTACAGCAACAACCGACATTTATGGATTCCGCGGCGCGCTTTATGTATTTACGTTCAGGGACGCCTCGTCGCGCGTCAGATAAGAGAGCCAAGTCGATTAAAGTCCGAGTCGAATTGAAAAGGGACACGCAGTGGTGCTTAAGCGTGATTTCGTGGACAAAAAGATATTTCTGACAGCAACAGCCAGGAGAAACTTTGCGTAACTTTTTTGGATCGAAAAATTGATAGCTTATGAATATACACAGAGAAAATATTGCAGTTGAAATTACAACCAGTTTTCTGTTTTTGGATCCTACAGAATTATGATTGAAATTATGTACTTGTAATAAAATACTAGTTTAAAATGTTATGCGCGTTTGACTTTTTACTACAGAATTATTTTAATTACTCGAATATTTTTTATATCATATATTAGAGAGGTATAAATCGTCGAATTTACCATTTCTATAACAATTCTTATTATATAATATAATTTCAGTCCAGCTTTACACAAAAAGATCGGAAAAAGAAATATAATTTTAACGTAATTTTTGTCACAATATTTCTGTTGTGCACTTTCATATAGAAGTCAATGCCGATGATAATCTTCTTAATAACGAAATATTTTCATTTCAAATATTTTTATTGCCATTTCTTGTTACTATGGAGATATATTTAAATATTAACTCAAGTCGAAATATTGGTCCTACTTTCAGCCTCACTATTCCATTCAACACTCATTTTGCGGCCTACATCAAAAGGCAGGTGACGATTTTGTCCGTCTTGGCACTGCTGTGGCGGTCGTTTGTACACGCAAAAAAAAAATAACTAGCTTCCAAAACTAAAAAATAGCTGTGTAAGCTATTTACAGATAAGTGTGGCAGATAAGATGTGTCCCCACTGAAATGGGGACAGCTAATGTCGATACTACCGAAGCTAAATTTATTCACTGTTTAAACTTAGGCGCTACAGCGAGAAATATTAGCTGCTAGAAACAAAGAGTGTATGAAGTTGGCACCCCACTTTTTGAAATTTATAATTTTGAAAGTTGTTCCAGATTGTTTTGACTTTGTACCACATTGTTCCAAAGTGATATTGCTTCATTCGAAACGGTTTTTGAATAAAACAAAAAAAATGATTTTTTGAGCTGGCACCTCACTTTTCGAAAATCGGACATTCTGATACCGCAATAGATTGTTCTAGTTGTTCCAAACATTGTTCCAAAAGGACAAATCCGTAAGTTGAATTATAAGTCCAAAAAATGAAAAAAATGTTTTTGACCTGGCACCCCATTTTTTGAAAATAAAGTATTCCGATATCGATATAGATTGTTCTAGTTGTTCCAAACATTATTCCAAAAGCACAAATCAATAAGTTTAATTATAAGCCCGAAAAATTAAAAAAAAGTTTTTTGACAAACAGTCTATCGGACCAAGAGTAAACTTATACTATCTTTCTTGTTCCAACCGAGATCTTTTTGTTCTGAGTTGT